CCCTTTTGAAAAGAACTTAATGACTTAGGGATCTAGCAAAGTTCCATTTCAGTCTTCGCAGAAGGGACTCTGGTGGCAATTCAAACCATGATCTCCATACACAGACAGACCCAGAGGCCAGCAAGGCTTAGAGATAAAATGTCAAAGCAACTGGAAATCCAGGTGTTCTCCCTGTAAGGAGGGCTCCTTCTGAGGGGCCCATACAGGAGTGAAGCACACCTCCCCTTGTGCAGTTCCAGATGGTGCTTAGCCTGGTGAGGCCAGAAGCAAAGGCTTAACACACCTAATATGGATATCTGGGTTGGGGGGATAAGGAAAGGATAGAGCTGACCATGGATTCTGGTTCTGCCATCACCCAAAGACAAGGACTCTGGCAGTGTCCTCAGTCTTGCTGGGACTATCATAAGACGGTGATGATAGAGCCAATCCGGGCAGTCTTTTATGAGCACAGAGCCATGTGGTACCCTCGGGAAGGAGAGCTAGCTCTTCTTTCCCATCTAATCCTCATTAACCAGCTGGGGCCAGCACTGAGCAAGCAGTGCGGTCTTGAAGCACACCGACTATTAATTAAAGCCTCCCAACTGTAACCTGCCTTAATTATTTATGGCATCCCCATGACTGCTAAGACCCGCCTTTCTTCTTGTTAACACAAGCTCCCTCCTCAGACCTTCATGAAACTACCATGAAAACTATTTCAGGCACCATAAAGGAAGGAGACTTCATGACCTAGCTGACTTGGAGACCTCCAGGGATAACTAGAATATGTCATTAGCCATGAGCTTATAACACTAATATAGCAGTGGATGGCAGACACAGTCTTTGCTGGGGCACATCAGATTTTATCATAGACAATCCCTAGCTTTGAGGAATTTCTCAATGATGAGTTTATTTTCTTTGCTTGTTACCTTCTATGTGAGACCTCTGTGTTATCCTAGAATTATGAACTAAGTATTTTGGGTTAAGTCCCGTATTACTGCTGGTATTTGGCCATTTTTCACAGTGGAAAGTTTAGCTATAAAAGTTGAACCTGACAAATCTAGACCAAGGAGAAAATAAAACAGATCATACAATGTCACTCCAGGAGACTTTTGCTTTGAGAACCACGAGACCCAGAAGGTCATTGGTGACATCCACATGGTTAAGTCTGGGTAAAATTGATGTTATAATTTGGATTCCCACTCCTCCCTACTAGGGTAGGTGCTAAACAAATAGAATGCCTAATAATGATGGCAATAAAAAGCCACTGATGGCAAGAGTCAAACCATTATCACCACACCCAGACAGGCTAACAACAGCAGGCTAGGTTTGCCTAGGTCTCACAGCCTATCTCCTTGTGGATACCATCCCCTCTGGGGAAGCTCTCATCCCCACCTAAGCTAATGGCATTAATCATTAGCCAACTTGGAAAGGTTAATGGGCCGTTTGAGTGAGAGGAATGTTTTTTATGAAGTCCTTGTTCCTGGGAATAAGAACACAACAGCAGGAGAGAGCCATGAGTGTGACATCACCACTAATGAGCCTCTCCACCCACCTCATTCCACACGGTAGGATATTTGGCCCAGCAAAACACTTCACCAGCACCTCATGAACAGGCTGGTCAGTGGGAACTGGGCATAAAATGTGTCTTAAAATGTTTAAACTGTATTTCAACTCTCTTTTATTCTTAAATAAGCAAGCCAGAGAATAAAATGACATAACCTATAGCCGAGCTGAAGGTCTATCCCTCAGAAAAGGATTGACACAGCTCACTTAGTTTTGAAAGGAAAAAAGTGACATCAACTGAGCCAGATACTATTTGTAAAGACCTTAGTTGCATCCAATGCTTATTTAAATTTTAAAAGTAAAGGGCTTTGAAAGCCTTCTGTGCTTTCATTGATGTGGTGAGATGTGCTTGTGTGTACCTCTCCATAATCATGGGAGATCATTCATAATGCAGCTTATGGGAATGAAAGAAACAGAGACGGAGAATTTTCACAATCAAGAGTACCTCTGGAGTAGATACGGTTGTACAAGACTGTAATCCCAGCATTTGGGAGCAAGATGGAGTCATCAGAATCATAGTACATGGTCACCTTGTCCCATAATCTCCCAGAAAGATACCTCCAAGGACAACTACAAAGTCATAAGGCTAGATGGACCAAACCTGAGGAGATTGGAGAGTCATGTCTAGAGAAATGACTAGAGAAAGAGTTGAGACATAATGGACATGAATTCATTCTGGAGGCTGAAGACTGACATAACTCAATGTATGGCCATGTGTAGGGGGCCAGATATGGGCTGGAAGGGTTTAGATGTTAGAAACTGATGAGGAGGCCATGTGATGGGTGCTGTGAAACAGAACCCATAAAAAGAGTTAGAGAAAAAGGATCCACACAAAGGACCCACACTGTTCTCGGATAAGGTAGCTGGACTTGTAGACAAAGGTGGCACCATTTCATGCCCACCAAAGTGTGTGTGTGTGTGTGTGCACGTGCACACACTCGTGTGTTGCCCGTGTCCATAAGGGCACTCATTGTTTAATCTACTTGGTGCTTCTTTATTACACCTCTCTTGTGCCTAGTGCTAGGGACATCACTACAAACTGAACAGACAAGCTTGGCACTTCTTTGAGGTTATGCTGAGTTTTTTGAATAAGCAGAGTAATGGGAAGGACTGAGATTGGAGAAGAAGCATTACTTTGGACAGAGAGGTCTGAGGACATGACAAGGAGAGTGACACTGAGGTGAGAAGCTACCAGACAAATCCAAAGAAGCAAGCAGAATTCCCAGGATCAGCAACAGCTAATGGCCCAAGTTGCTGAAGAAAGAGAACACAGGATGCAGTACAAATCTATTCTGAGAAAACCAAGGACAGGATTGGGTAGCATTCTTTTTCCTAAGTCCCCAAGAAGCCATGGGTGTATCAATGGACATGATCTGAGTCTTCCTTTTAAAGTGTCTCTCTAGATGCCCTGCTATCTATGTTGTTAGGACCAAGAGGCCCTGGAGGGAAGTCTGTGGCTTGAGCCAGAGTGATGGTTTTAATCCTGAGATTCATGGGAGAAAAACCAGTTCCACCTTTGGGACCAAATTTGAAGCAAGCTTTATTAAAATATTAAATTCTAGCCAAGATGGGCTTTGGTCAGGACCACTTTCTGAGATGTTCATCTGAGTGTGCCCCAAACATGTTATTGGAGCTTATAAAGACAAAACCCTGAGGACACCATACTTTCCCATGAGGCTTTGTTGTTATTTTTTAAGAACTACAACTCCCAGAATCCCAGGTACTTGGGCAGCATGGTGCTTACAGATTAACTAGGGTGTTACATTGGGAACTGAGAAGTAATGAAGTGAGAGGTCCTCTTTGGCCCACACAGACTCACTGAAGAATAACACCTGAGAGTGAGGAGCATCCAGGATGGGACAGGAGAGGCTATAGCTTGAGAATTCAAAAGAAGCACTGAAAATGGATGTTTTCGCTAAACTGTGACTTTGTCTCATATAAAATGAGAATGCCTTGAAATTTGCAGGCAAATGGATGGCACTAGAAGAAACCATCCTGAGTTAGGTAACCCAGTCACAAAAAGAGAAACACGGTATGTACTCACTCATAAATGGATTTTAGACACGAATCAGGGGAGTGTCAGCCTACAATCCCACTGCCAGAGTCTGGGAAACAGAACCTTCATTCATCCAGTGACTGATGGAAGCAGAGGCAGACACCCACAGCTAAACACTGAACTGAACTCCTGGAAACCAGTGACAGAAAGGGAAAAATGATGAGCAAAGAGTTAAGACTGGGCTGCTTTAACCCACAGAAACAGTTGACCTGAACAAGGGGGAGCTCTTGGACCCCAGATTGATAGCTGTGTGGAAAGCAAGAGACTGACCCAGACCCCCTGAATGTGGGTGTCAGTTAGGAGGCCTAGGTAATCTATGGGGCCTTGGGTAGTATTTATCCCTGGCGTACAAACAGACTTTGAATGCCCATCCCACAATGAGGTATGCTGTCTGAGCCTGGACTCTTGGGGTAGGGCCTAGGCCCTGCCTTGGATGAAATGACAGTCACTGGAGATCCACCATGGAGGGCCTCACCCTTCCTGGGGATCGTAGTGGAGATTGGGTAGGGGACTGGGGGGGGGCTGGTAGGGAGGGTGGGGGAGGAGGGGAGGGAGAGGGAGCTGGGACTGACATGTGAAACAAGCTTGTTTCTAACTTAAATAAAAATATAAATAAATAATAAATAAATAAAATGAGAATGTCTAAACTCTCATCAAATGGAGAGTCACAGGTATCTCACATTCTTCGCCGTGTCCTTCAGAGCGGTACACACACTCCAGTGTGAAGAGAGGCGTCTCAGACAGCAACCTTCTCCTCCCGGGATGACCAAAAGACCATGTCTCTTTAAATTTCCATGTGACAGTGGTATTCAAGGCTAGCCTCATGATTTGAGAAATACCACCCTGCTAATCCTCAATACACATTTTGGAGAATTTCTGAGAGCTGTCAGAATACTAATCTGCCCTCCATCCTGGAAAAAAATTTCTTATTCCTCAAGCTCCCTGATTCCCAGGGCTATTTGATGCTGGGTGGTTCCACAAGAGCCCTGAAGCAGACTCCAAACTGGCTTTCCTGGCCACTCTGCCTGTCCACACAAGCTTTCCAAATACAGACACAGCTCTGCCTTTCATTTCCCTGAGTACAGCAAAGAATAGGTTGTTAAAGACATTTTTACTGAAGGCTGGGGTTTCACACTCTTGCAATTCAGAGAAGCATTTCCATGGTTGTTAATGTGACTCTTCTAGAGAATTCCAGCTCCAAAAGCTAACCTTACTCCCCTAGCTTGCATCTCACCTAATAGCATAGGGTCAAGTCAACCTCCTCCCCACCAGATTTCCAGCTTCTTTCTCACCTATGAGTCCAATTTGAGCACCTCTGCCCCAGGCCTGTGTGGCAGACCTGCTTGGCCTCAACCCCAGATGACTGAAGTAGAGGCACTTCCCATCCTCCAAGGACTCTTACCTGCAAACAGCAGCAGGGTAGCCTTGTGAAGAGCAGCCACTGACGCCAAAGCTCGTGAGTGCATTTCCGTCTGCTGGTCTTTGTAACTTCTCAGCAGAGGCTCTGGCCCAGACTGTGTGAAGTCAGACATTATCCACTGGCCTGTCCTAACTTCTCATTCAATCTAGAGAAGAGAGGGGATTGAACTTCCTTCTGGATTCACTTGGGTCTTACAAAGTCCTAAAATAAGTAAGCACAACATATTTATATGATTATATGTATATAGAACATGCATATATATGCATGCTACTGCAGAGAAAAAATTATCACTTAAAGCTAAATCTGTATTCAAAGACTCACCAAAAACAGCACCCTACTAAGACTAAATAGAACCTCACATTTCTGCCCGCAGTATCCAGTCACATTAATAACCAGGATCCCCACATAACCCACTGCTCTGGGGGAAATCTAAGATGCTTCTGTTGAACATTCCCCCAAACAAAGGAAGCCCAGACAAACAGCAAGCCCACCTCTGTCTCCAGCCATTTCGTAGAGCAGTCCAACAGCCTTAGACAATATTTTTCCACTGTGCTCACTCACAATGATGCAGTCAGAGTGCAAAGTATTTTGGAAATTCCTCTTCTAGAAGAGCCTCTGGAGCCAGGAGCACATTCTTTTAGAATAGCTTCAATAGTTATAAAATTTTATGCCAGGAAGGTGCATTTGATTCTTAAAATCAACCAGAGTGTTTTAAAGCAGATTTGGCAACCACATAAGCTCCAACGTGGGACATTTCTTTGGTATAGGGGGGTGTGACTATAGTTCTTAAGCCGATCACAAACTCCCTCTGAAGGCCATGCAGTCCGTCCACTTTTTGGTGTGTTTCTTTTCTCTCCATTTCTATCCTTTCTTAATTTTTTCTTTCCTTTTGGTGTTGACAGCAGGCCCTAAAGTCTTGTGGGTGCTAAGTGGTCACTGACACTAAGCTACATTCCCAGGCAATTTTTTGTTTTGAACTTCTGCTCCATGTCAGGTTACAATCCTATATGAGATATAGACCAAGAAACCAACTAATCACAGTGCTACATGGGAACACCCACAGTGATCACACACACAAAGCCTGAAGCGTGTAACGGGGAGTAGGTAGCACAACCCCTGGGGAGGTGACACACTGAGAAAAGCATTTCACGGGGTGCTTCGAGGGCCTGTGAGCCAGCTCAGCAGGGGAAAGCACCGCCACACAAGCCTGTTGACCTGAGGTCGGTCCTAAGAAGCCGTGGTAGAAGGCGAGGACTCCTGAAGGTTCTCTTGTGACCTCCACACATGTGCCACGACCTGTGTGTACACAACCATCCTAATAACAATAAAGAAAAAATTTTAAAGAGCTTCCTGCAAGCATATCACAATAACTAAAGTTCTCCATGACCAATTTAAAGGCCACAACATGCATTTAGGTGCACGTTCTGATATATTTACTGAGGTGCTTGCTCCCTTATTTATGATGTTTTCAAGTACAGTGACATGATCTGAATTTCACCCCCAGAGGGTTTGTAGCAAGGACCAAATAACACATTACTTTCATCTGTGGTTTCTGACCCTTCTCTGCCTCATAATATGCTTTTTTGTTATGATCTCAAACTTTATTTCAGCAAAACCTCTTGGCTGTCATGCACTGTATTTCCGGAGGAAATACCATATTACTTCTAAAACATTAACGTCTTCCCTGGGACATTGCATGCATTTGTATGCGATATCATTCTCCTACCCCATCCATGCTTATTAACCCTAGTACTCTCTACCTAAGCTGATCCCACTGTTCAATGATGTCACTGTAGCCGCCAAACAGGATCCTACCATTAAGTTCCCCTGCCCTGGCCAGGGGGAGAAGAATGAAGGAGTGTATGATCATTCCTATTGGAACTCCACTGGGGCCCCAGCACTGCTTGGATAAAGAGTGTCTTGGGGCTTTGGGTGGCAGCTTTTACAAGTCAGGCCTCTATTTTACATTGCTCCTAAAATCCTGAAATACCAATTGCACTCTACATTTTTCTCTTGCATGGTGGAAAGTGACTCCAAAACCCTTTTCCCAGGAAAATCCAAAAGAGGTAACAACCAAGGAAATTTCAGTTGTGCTGCTGGCATGGCTTTGGGCTCTCCTCTTCCATCAAAATAGCCTCTTTCAAGTCTAAACATCAGGAAGAAAAGTAAGAAAGAACCCTGCTGGCCACTGGGGCAGTTTAAGTCCATGGGGTGAAAAAAGCTGAGGTATCACCAGGCTTCTGACCTATACTATTCTGAATAAAAAAGCAAGAGCAGTCAAGAGAATTTTAGTTATGTCAAAATTTCACCTAGACTACTGTTTTATGCTTTTCTTTGACTTGCCCTATAAATATTTTACTGCAACTTTCAAAGTTTATAGGGTCCTTAAGACTTGTAAAAAGGGTGAGTAACTGGAAGCCAAGGACTGATACCTACCACAGGGATCTTGATTTTTTTTTTGAAAGATTCCATTGAATAGAATTTATTCTACCCAGGATTCTTTGAAAGGTGACTGGACTCATTTTCCTAGTCAAAGCTGTGTCTCTGCATGGGGCTAAAGAAAAGTAGCTTCAGCTCATTATGAACTCTAATTATTTGAGGCCTCTCTCTGCACTATGACAACTCATTGGTTTTGGCCCCAAACCTGTACATCCCAGAGTGTAAGCACTTGAGAGGCCAAGGGTGTGTGGTGACCTGTTGCTTCATCCCAAAGATACCCCAAAGGCCTGTATCCCTGATACTGGCATCCAGTCCAAATAGCCCAACACAGGGGACCCTAGCCCCTCCCCCTCTAACCTCTTCCCTTAGCATTCTGGAAGCACAGACAAGCCACTGGATTGTAAGGAAAGTGCTTCTGAAGGCCTCTCCTCCAGACTGCGAGTTTTAACTGTTTGAGGAATGAGCTACTTCTGGTTTGCAGTGATTTGATTTTGCTGGCTCTTGAATTAATTAACCTGATTTCTAAATCCTGAAAACTTACTTAGCATAATCTATGTAAACTTAATAGATCTGAATATTTAAATACATTTAATCTAATAGCAGAATCTTGCATGGAAATCATCTTTACGTTTTGTCTTCATGTTGTCTGAGTAACACAAGCGTGCAGTTCCCAAAAATGCCAGAAAAGAATGTCAGATTCCCTGGAACTGAGATTATAAATGGTTGTGAACTACCATGTGGATGCTGGGAATCAAAGCCAGGTCCTCTGGAAGAGCAGTCAGTGCTCTTAACCACTAAGGTTCTCACCAGTCCTCTTGTATGCAAATTTTTCTTTGAGTTGAGAGATTGAAATTTCACCCCTAAAATAATGACTTAATGCTTCCACTACAGACAGACATGCGCAGACCCCCTTACATAAAGGGAAGGCAGGAGGTGGAGTTCTGTGGCTTCTAGCACATTCCCAAACACCTCAGAAGCACTGTTACTAATGCCTCATCTCAATAATATAGATGTGCCTTAAACACCATCCAAAAGAAAGCCAGTATTTAAGTGTAAAATTTTAGAAAAACTCATGACTTTGTATCAGAGAGACAATTACTGATCCCAAAATTTTCAGTGTGGAGGAGACTTCTTTGAACATAAAATCTCCAACACGTGTCATTCAGAGCTAATTTTGCACAATGGAAAATGATATCTTCTGTATGAAGGACTCATCTCAGAATGTCATTTTAAAAACTAAGTCATTTGCAATATGATTGGGGTCCCAAGTATTTGACATGAAACTCTCTGCCAACTTCTCAGTACCCTCAAACAGTATGGAAAAACACCACTAGCCTTTTTCTTTGGTGGGGAAATTTGATTACCCACCTGAGGATTGAGTTTGATAACTCCCTGCCTGTTGAAGGAGATGCCATTCCTCTTGTTTGCTATATTAAGATCTAAACTTTGAACCAAAGTTCACTTCATGCATTTTCATGGGCTCTGCTGCAATGCTCACATTAAATAGGAGACACACAACAGGATGGAAATGCCCAAAGAGATTCTTGAAACCCCAGGACCCTTTCTTGGGAGAATTGTCTCTCTGCTTCATTAATTATTTGCCCATTTGTGGTCCTAGAGATTGAACTCAAGGCCTTCTACATACTTTGCAAGCGCTTTACCGTTAAGCTACGTGCCTAGTCACAATCCTTCATTTTTATTGCAACTCGGGAATATCCTTTCTTCGCATATTCTACCATAGGAATTTTATTATATTTGAAAAACTCGGTGCCTATGTTTGACTTCCTTGTTTCCAGAGGGGGTGGGGGTGTCCTTTCACTGCTCCAGAGGGAACTCAGAGCCCCTGGGCATGCTGGGCAAGTGCTCTATTACTGAGATACACCTCATCCTAGAGAAGACCTCCCATGTCTTTCTAGGCTACTTTTCATACTCTGTTATTGTAGACAATTATTTGAGGATTTATCTGCTTTGGGACTATGTAACTATTATGTGGATATTGTCCCATTATTCTGCTTTAAGCAATAAAAGTATACCTTGTGTCTCTGACAGGAACAATTTGGCATCCAGGTAGGTCTGAGAAGATCTGAGTGTGTCTAGTCCATTTTAAAACAATCCCAGTTTCATCTGCTGTCCTCTGCCCTGCCTGGGCTCTTTCTCATCACTGTCTTCCTTTTGGGATTCAATGATTTTGAAAATTATTGATTTAGAGCTTTAAGCTCTCGCACAGTTCAGTCATGAAAATAAGATCAGGCCTTGGGAACAAACATCTTTCTGCCACAGTGGAACCCAGACAGTGGCCAGATCTGTTCCATGCTACTTAACAAGGTAACTCCACTATTTATCAAAGCACAGGACTGATGTGGCAAACCGAGCACAGAACACAAAAATAGATTTTTTTTGAATCCCAGATATAAAATGTTTCCCATGTTTATAAATATCAAATATGTTCAAAGAGTTCTCTAGGGAGAAAGGCTGCTGTGGTGACACACCCTTAAGTCTCAGCACTCAAAAGAGTAAATTGGGAAGACATCCCAAGTTCAAGGCCAGCCTGGGCTCTAGAGCAAGACCTTGTCTCAAGAAAACAACAGAAAGAGAGAAGAGATGCTGATGTGCAACTTCTGCCTCTCAGGCATCTTACAACGCCAAAGAAGATCAGCCAGCATTAGCATGCCTTTGAGGGAGAATCCATTTATTATTTTTAGTTACTTCTCAATAATCTCACAACTGGCCTCATCACACAATGGCTCTGTAGTAATGAATTTTCAAAAGAAAAGAACATTTCCTGTGAGGCTGTATTCCCTGGTGAATCTGGTATGCCCCAGTATGAGGGTTTTTATCTCCAAACAGGGCCAGGGTTTCTCTTTTATCTTGCTGTCTTCCTTGCTGAAAAATTTCTCTGGCAAACAAAGGAAAGCCTACAAAACCCAGTCCAGCGTTACCCAAGACATCTGTGAGCCAGGTAAAATCTACCCCTACAATTTTCTTGCTCTCTGACATATATTCAAGCAGCTCTCCTTCCCCAGGACAAGATTACTTGGTAAGGAACCATTCTGTTCATGGAAATGTATTCCTCTTAAGAGCCACAAATGAGTTAAAATGACCAGGACCACCCTA